TAGTATTAAAACCATATTTTAAAAAGTTCCAACTTAATTTCAGTAAAAGACAATATCAGAAGATTCAGAAGATCCATACCCGGAGATTACTGAGTCCGGAGGAAAGGAAAGAGATAGGGGGTGAGGCATGTTTGTATTTCTGATGTTTCCCGTGTAGTATTAAAACCATATTTTAAAAAGTTCCAACTTAATTTCAGTAAAAGACAATGGCCACCAGATCAGAAGATCCATACCCGGAGATTACTGAGTCCGGAGGAAAGGAAAGAGATAGGGGGTGAGGCATGTTTGTATTTCTGATATATAATGTGTTTCCCGTGGCTCAACGTTGTTTTTCATAATTTTAGGAAAACCATCGGATTCGGCAAATTACTCCTAAAGTTCCTAGCTATTTATTGGCGATCCTTCATCGTGATAATATGGCCATTAATTCTGATCCCGATACTGACGCTCGAGAGTGAAAAGGTACGTTCATTAATTGTGACAAGAAACTCGCGTTTAATTCAAGACAAACGGAGCGCGTACATCTACGCGATATTATATTAAAAAAAAGGAATCACATGTACAAATTATTACGATAACTTGTTGGAATCGAGAAAGTCGAAAGAATCGAAGGAGTTAAAGGATCCTTTTCTTCTTTTCCGGAGGCAGCCCCTCGCGATGAAATGTTTATACGTCGTCGCGTTGATGGCAATGTTCTGGGTGACCGAGGTTCTACCATTGCCCGTCACAGGCATGATCCCGGTGGTCCTGTACCCGCTGATGGGCATCATGTCCACCAATGAGACCTGCCTGTGCTATATGAACGATACCACAATGATGTTTCTGGGCAGTTTGGTGATCGCGGTGGTAATCGAGAACTCCGGCTTGCATATGCGAATGGCGTTATTCATCATCAAGACCATCGGTTGTAGTCATCGAAGGTGCTTTTCGTTAATTAAATCAGTGCTGGGATTTAGATGCAACTTTCGGCCGGATTTCTTGACTCACGCCTACGGTTCCCTCTCTTACTGCTCGCTCCTTAGCAACGCAGCGCCGAACGGCCGTAACTAAGGAGCGCGTCACTAGTCTCAGGAACGTGCGTGTCACAAATGTAATAACGCAATAGCCTAGTGCCCTAGTAGCAAAACTGCTCATTAAAATTTTCTATTTAATACTTTATTTCTATTATTAATACTATTATTAATTCTATTATTAACTTCATTTCTATTATTAGTAACTATTATTACTATAGTATTAATAACTAAAATAATTATTATTCTATTATTAATTACGTATGTTCTGTAACAATTTAAAATATTTATGTTTTATTTAAAGTTTAAATAAAACAAATATTTTAATAATAGAAATAACGTATTAAATAGAAAATTTTAATGAGCAGTTTTGCTACTAGGGTACTAGGCTATTGCGTTATTACATTTTTGACACGCACGTTCCTGAGACTAGTGACGCGCTCCTTAGTTACGGCCGTTCGGCGCTGCGTTGTTAAGGAGCGAGCAGTAAGAGGGGGAACCGTAGGCGTGAGTCAAGAAATCCGGCCGAAAGTTGCATCTAAATCCCAGCACTGAATTAAATCATGCGAAAGCCGTTTTCGTTCGTCAAGCCCACTTGTGAAATTCGTTATTTAACAAGATTGATCGAGTCCTCAAAAATATTTAATCCTTAAAAATTGTAGAATTTGTCGTTTTCTCGTCATATTTGATTCAATAACGAGTAGCGCGAGAAAGTATAACGGAAATATTTTTAATGATTCTAGAAATGATATTTATTCACTTATTTATTCTTGGTTTAAAGTTTCAACATAAAATTTACGCGATTTTTTAAATAAATAAAGCAATTAATTAATTTTAATTAAATTAATAAATTCCCAGATTAACGTTGGGCCTCTTCTTCGTAACAATGTTTATCTCGATGTGGATCTCGAACACCGCCGCCACAGCTATGATGATACCCATAATGGAAACAGTTCTAATAGAACTAGAAGCGGTGAGTTTCTAATTTCTTTTTCAGATAAACTTAGAGGAATAATTATACAAATGTTCGCTTCAGCAAGGACTCGGGAACATGTTTGTCCAAAGAGAGGAAGTGGCCGAGGAGGAAAGCGCGGAAACGTAAATAGTTATCATCGTAAATTCACCTCTTCTCTCTTTTTTCATCTCTTTCTCATTTTCCGGATATATTTAATTTCTGAATATTAATATCAAAAATATTCATAAACAAGATAACTCTTCGCGTTCATATTCCATTCGAGTGTAATCTTTTTTAGGAGTAAAAGGCCGACGCACAGCACCATGGTATATTATCTTGTCGCGGCCTATGCGTCCAGTCTAGGTGGCATCGGTACCATTGTTGGCAGCGGTACCAATTTAACGTTGAAAGGCTTTCTGGAGAAGTACGTACATTGCAAATCTAGCAAGCGTGCTATTTACAGCGTATCTTAAAATATTTATATTACGCATATGCACACTAAAAAGGAAGGGGATGTAATATATATATATTAATATAAGCTTTTAATTTCTTCTTTTCATCTCCAATTTTCACTTTCTATTTCTTTTAAAGTTTAATTGCTCTTTCGAGGGAATGATGTAAGATTCGCTTTCGTTTTTTCTAGACGCTTTCCCGATAGTCCCGGCATAAATTTCGCCTCCTGGATGTTGTACTCAGTGCCGCCCATGTTGCTAATGAGCTTCGTTACGTGGTTGTGGCTGCAGGTGATGTACATGGGTCTCTTCAAACCGAAGAGCAAGGACGCTCGTGCCATAGACATTGGTCAGCAGGGCGAGCGTGTCGCGGCGGCGGTCATTGAGAAGAAATATAAGGAACTCGGACCGATCACATGGCACGAATCCTCGGTGGGTGTTCTATTTATCCTCGTAGTGCTCCTGTGGTTCTTCAGGAATCCCGGATTCATGCCGGGCTGGGCTGCTTATATCACAAATTTGTGAGTATCGTAATTGTAGTACGAAATATTCGTACTACAAAATTGAACTATATTATGCGCTACTATGAAGTACTATGAAGTACTATGAAGTATTTGAAGTACAAAAAAATAATAAGAACATAATAATTTATTATTTTACGTAATTCTTCAATTCATAATGTGTATATACAAATATATTTAATATATTTATTAATATACAGAGTGGCTCATTTTAATCAATCCATTGGAATATTTCAGAGCCCTTAAGTTTAAGACAAAAGTTGCTCAGCTGTTAGGGGGAAAGCAGATGATGACCTTGGTTGACCTTAAAAAAGTATCCTCAAGGTCAAGGTCACCTAAGATTTTTATAGGAATCGCCATTTTTTATTTTATATTCTTGTAGCTGCCACACTTAAAGATCTTTTCAAAATTAATGTAAATAAGCCTCATATCTCAGTAATGATTTATCAAAAAAGAGGAATACAAATTTGCCTTTTTTCGATAAATCATTATTGAGATATGAGGCTTGAAAATTAACAGATTAACGTTTAGTTGATCTCAACCCATCTTAAAGCAATTAAGTTTGAGACAAAGAGAAGATGATAATCTTGATTAACTTTGACTATTACTGAGCTCAAGCTCAGATCGGAACCACCTGCGTGAAGTTAGCACCCCATTTTTGAAATTTTAAAATTCTAAAAGTTGTTCCAGGTTGTTCTAAACTTGTCCTAAATTGTTCCAGAAGATCAAATTTATATAATAAAAATTTTCGCGGAAAATAAAAAAAATTTTTTTGACCTGGAACACCATTTTTCGAAAATCGAAATAAAATTTTCCGATGAAAAGTAAAGTGGGCCCTATATTGTTGTTCTGGTCTTAAAAATTTTGTTCCCTGTTGTTCTAGTCGAGAACACGATAGTTTTAAAACGGGAAGCCTGGAACAAGGTTTTTACCTAAAAAAATCGAAAAATAAAATTTTGCGATGAAGAGTAAAGTGAGCCTTATATTGTTGTTCTGGTCTTAAAAATTTTGTTCCCGGTTGTTCTAGTCCAGAACACGATAGTTTTAGAGCTAGAAGCCTGGAACAAGGTTTTTACCCAAGAAAATCGAAAAATAAAATTTTGCGGTGAAGAGTAAAGTGAGCCTTATATTGTTGTTCTGGTCTTAAAAATTTTGTTCCCGGTTGTTCTAGTCGAGAACACGATAGTTTTAAAGCGAGAAACCTGGAACAAAATTTTTACCTAAGAAAATCGAAAAATAAAATTTTTCGATGAAGAGTAAAGTGAATCTTATATTGTTGTTCTGGTCTTAAAAATTTTGTTCTGAGTTGTTCTACGTGGTTATAAATATGTTCTAAATCGACAATTTTGTAAGTTGTTTTGTTTATGAAAAAATGGCCAAAAACTTTTCTTTCCAAAATTTTTATTTTTTCAATATCTCTTAAAGTTTTTGACCAATCAAACTAATACTATGGAACAATGTTTAGAACAACCTTAAAAAGTTCGATTTTCGAAAAATGGGGTGCCAGGTCAAAAAAAGTTTTTTTTTTAATTTTCCGCGAAAATTTTGTATTATGTAAATTTGATCTTCTGGAACAATTTAGAACAAGTCTAGACAACTTGGAACAACTGTTAGAATTTTAAAATTTTAAAAATTGGGTGCTAACTTCACGCAGGTATCGAAGCTAAAATAAATTTTTTAAATATATTTTTTAATTCTATTTTAATATATTTTTTAATATTCTAATTGTACTTTTAGCGCTATTCAGAAACAACAGCGTGGAGTAGTAGCTTTCTGTTCCCTTTGGGGTATTTTATTAACGTCCTCTTGCTTCTCACAATGGGGTATTTCATTAATGAGTCCCTTTGTCTCTGACGATGGGATGCTTTATTCATCCAGTGGATTGATTAAAATGAGCCATCCTATATAATATATAATATACAGTTTCACATAAAGTGTTACGAGGTGTTTTCTTCGAAAATTGACGTCGTACAAAAAATGTTTTAGACAAAATTGATAGAATTTTAAGAGAGAAAAAGATTGATAATCTTGAATTTTAACTAAGGTAATTTTTCAAGATTATGTAAAAATGAACTTAGTTTTTTTAAATAGAACCATCCTAATTTTTTTATATAAATCGATTCCAATATTCGGCGTAAAAAGTTATCAGCGTTGGATGACCAAAAATTGAATAGTTTACGAAATATTTTAAACTTTAATTCAATATAATTTTACATAAATTATAAAATATCTCGTAAAATATTAATTTTTCAATTATCTTGCCTCAAGACCTTTATGAACAAAATAATAAGAAAAATTAATTGATGTAAAGAAAACACAAAGTTGTTCTTAAAAAGAAATATGTAGCTGCTCGCTGTAAATTCATTCATTCTTCTAATTTTGTAAATATCCCGACTTTTCGAAAAGCTACTCTGATACAAAAGTTATTAAGCTCATTGAATTCTATCAGTGGAATAACTCAGAAGTATCCTTTTCTATTTAAAAAAAGGAAATTTTAGTTTATAGTGTCAAAACCAAGGACACTCAAGGTTACTCAAGGCCACCATAGTATGTCCACCTACTTGTCCTATAATTTTGATAATGGGCCTTTTCTCTCAGTTTTCGAGAAAATGTGGTGAAATTTTTTATTAGACTCACTCTGTATATATACAGGGTGTTCCATTTTAAATGGCGACTTCAAATATCTCTTGCACAATGCATTTCAGAGAAAAATATTTCAGACAAAAGTTGCGGAGTTCAAAGGGGGTCAATAGACGATCTTATTAGATTTTGGATCGGGGGTCACCCATATTAAGCTGCCCCCCCTCCCTCCACCATCGCCAAATAAAGTCGCGTCTACCAAATAGTTTAGTGCTAATTACGTGATAATTTATATGCTGTAGTCCGGATTTTGTTGCTCAAACCGTTTAGCAGGAATTTACGTTCAAAGTGGGAGGGGGCCGGCTTAACATTAAGCTAGCCCCCCCCCCCCATAGTGAAAAATATAGAATACTCGAATAAAAAAATAAATAAATAATCAATTACACAGAATTTGTTGCTATTCTGTTGTCCTAAAATAACATAAAAACATTTTGAAAAAAATATATTATTTGATTAATACCACTATACATTCAGTCTCGCCGTGCCATCCACTTGCACGAAATAAAAGTAACTAAAAGAATTTTCGGTGGACAAGGGCTACAAGAATATGCAATAAAAAATAGGGGGTTCCATTTAAGAAAACATCAATCATATTGACCTGGCCTTGAAAAAGTCATTTAAGGTCAAATCCATATTTTCATCATGTGGCCTCCTTCAAACCATGCAACTTTTGTCTGAAACATTTTTTCATCCGATTACTTCTCTAGTTTTTAAATGGGGATACGGGCGCTCTGTTACACCCTGTATATATACAGGGTGTCCGGTAAAGATTGTGCCAACGCTCGTGAGCGGGTAGAGCACAGTAAACTGAGCAGTAAAGTCCTATAACATTTTTTTCTATAACGCTTAATAAAGGAGTTATTATTGAGTAAAGTCTGGTCAATCAGCGCCGACTTTTAGCCGGACGCCTGGTAGTATGGGCCACCATAGCGACGGAGCGCTCATGCACACTACCAAGCGCGCGGCTAAAGATCGGCGCTGATTGGCAGACTCAATAATAACTCCTTTATTAAGCGTTATACAAAAAAAAATGTTACAAGACTTTTCTGTTCAGTTTATTGTGCTCTACCCGCTCACGAGCGTTGGCACAATCTTTATATATATATATATATATATATATATATATATATATATATATATATATATATATATATATATATATATATATATATATATATATATATATATATATATATATATATATATATATATATATATATATATATATATATATATATATATATATATATATATATATATATATATATATATATATATATATATATATATATATATATATATATATATATATATATATATATATATATATATATATATATATATATATATATATATATATATATATATATATATATCTGTATATATATATATATATATATATATATATATATATATATATATATATATATATATATATATATATATATATGGGCAAGGCAGTCTCTTGTTATGAGCAAAAGGTCAATAATAGATATATGAAACAAGAATTTTATTCAATACTTAATGAATCTAATGAATATATTGGACTCATTATATTAAAAAACACATAAATGCGTTCATTATAGTTGTACATTCTTTTAAACATAAATTCAGCAAAATAATTTGTGAAATGGTAATCATGTATACCATAGAAATGTTTGCTTGCATTTTTCTCCACAATCTTTCTATATTTTGTGTATACACAGGTACTGGATTCACAAAATTAACTGCATGATTTAATGCTTTGTATATTGAAATCTTACAATAATAAACCTCGTTTTATACTGCAAGCATCGGGCGATAGTGGATAGACCTCGCTTCGCGTGGAAAATTGAAAACCTATTAATGTTTGCAAATGAAGGAAGATTTGATCGCTCTGAGAGCGATTAAACCCAATTTTCCATGAACATATGTTCAATCAAAAATGGGTTTTGAATATGATTAATATAAATAATACATTAATAATATAAATAATATAAAGTACATCCCGTTTGACGCTATTTTGACTTTAAAGTACAAGGTTCTTTGCCTTGATTAATCAATCAAATACTTATTCTAAGTATTTCATTGATTAATATAATAATCCATATACTTCTAGTAATCCGAGACGAAATTTATAACGTCATTAATCGCTTTTAGAGCGATCAAAGCTTCACTCGAAAACGCTATATGTGAAACCGTACAATGATAGACCTCGTTTCACATTAAAAAACAGAAGACGGATCTCAGGGTGGACCTCGCTTTGCGTAAAAAATTGGAAACCCATGTGGAACCGTATAATGATTCTTCAGGAAACGTGTGGGCGAGGGAGGGGCTCTGCTGCTTCTTCCCGAAAAAAAAAAACTAATCTAATCCAAAACTAATTCTGCTTACTTTATAACTAATTTTAATTTTAAATTAGAAATATATTTGGGGTTACATCCCACATTCATTACAAAATGCTACTTGATAATTTCCCTAAGAAAGAAGAATTACATTCCATTTATAAAACTTCTTTTGTTAATAACTTTTTATATATATAATAAAAGGACAACCTTGATAACATATGTCAAGATCAAAGTATATTATATAATACATGTATATCGAAAAGAAGATCCAGGACCTATGACCTATCAAGGTTGTATCCCTGAGTACTATTCGAAAGATTTTAGCCGTCGGTCATTGTTCATTATATATAAAAAGTTGTTAACAAAAGCAGGTTTATAAATGGAATGCAATTTTTCGTCCTCTAGAAAATTGAAAATCCATGTGGAACTATATAATGATCCCACAGAAAACGTGTGGGCGGGGGAGGGGCAATCTCCACCCCAAAAGACTTAATCTAATCCAAATTTAATTTTACATATCTTATAAGTTAATTTTAAATTAGAAATAAGTTAGTTTTTTTCGGGGAGGGATGGGATAATGTCTCACAAAAAAGGCGTGGGCGGTTTTGCCCCCAAAAAAGCTAATTTAATTTCTAATTTAAAATTAATATTAATTATACGTAGGATTAAGTTTGGATTAAGTAATTTTTTGGGGGTTGGGGGCGCAGGGGGAAAGTCTCTCCCGCCCACACATTTCTTGTGGGATCATTATGTAGTTCCACATGAGTTCCCAATTTTTTAAAGAACAAAGAATTACATTCCATTTATAAAACTTCTTTTGTTAATAACTTTTTATATATATAATAAAAAATGAGCAATGGCTAAAACCTGTCGAATATTACTCAGGGACACAACTTTGATAACATATGTCAAAATCAAGATCATCGGGGGTGGGGGTCCTCTTTTCGGTATATTTACCAAAAAATTAATAGAGAAAAATATCAAATAACTGAAATTTTTTCAAAATTCCAGATCGGTCAAGGATTCAACCGCGGCCATATGCGTGACGATATTGTTCTTCATCATTCCGTCGAAACTTGACTTTCTGCACGCGTTCAACAAAAATCTACACAAACGGCCCACGAAACCGTCACCCGGCTTAATAACATGGAAGATGATTAACCAGAAGATGCACTGGAGTTTGATATTCGTGCTGGGCGGCGGATTCGCCATCTCCGCTGGTAGTACTACATCGGGTTTATCAGCCATGCTCGGTCAGTCCTTGATCGGTCTGCAAAAGATCAACGTGGTGGCGATATTGCTGATCGTCTGCTTCTTCGCTGAGAACGTGACGGAATTAACGGCTAACGTGGCCGTCGCGAATATTATACTGCCAGTCTTAGCGGAAATGGTGAGTCGAGCAAAGTCAACACGATAAAATTGTTTCACATATAACCAATATTTTCTATATCAATGCTGTTCTCTACTTGCAACTTTTGGCCAGATTTCACTTCTACTCGCGCGTTAGCAACGAGACGCGCATAATTAAAGAGTGCAGTACTTATCGTTAGCTTCAGGAGTATCCATATCACAAATATAATGAAGCAATACGTCTCTAATAACACCGCAAAAATTTCCAAATAAAATATTTTTTATATTTTATATCTTATTAATAATCAAAATTATTTTTTTCTATTATTAATTACGTACGTTTTGCAATAATTAAAAAATTTTTATAATATTTTATTCATACAGAGCTTCTTATACGCTTTTGCAATCATATCGATTTATATTTTAAATTATTAATTATATACATATATGTTTCGCGCGCAATAATTAAAGAATTTTTGTAACATCTTATTCAAAGCTATATACATCAATATGATTGCAAAAGTATGTGAGAAGCTTTGAATAAAATGTTACTAAAATTTTTTGATTGTTGCAAAACATACGTAATTAATAATAGAAAAAATAGTTTTATGATTATTAATCAAATATAAAATATAAAAGGAAAATTATATTTGAAAACTTTTGCGGTGTTGTTAAAAGCATTGTCCCACTTTTGCGATATTGACACTTTTGAAATTAAGTGCCGCGCTCCTTAGTTACGCGCGTCAAGCATCTTGTTCGATCTTGTTGCTAACGCGTAAAGTAATAAGTGGGAAAGCAGTAGATGTAAATCACAAAATCTGGCCGAAAGTTGCCAATAGAGAACAACACTTTTTTATATTATAAAAGAACAATTTATATAATAATAGGAAATCTATATATGTAAATTCACTGTCGCATTTTTTCACAGAATTCTATTTATTATTCTTTCTATACGATCGATATTTTTAATAGCAGATTTCCTGGCCCCTCAATGGCATTTTACATATTTATTACTATATTTTTATCATGATATAATTAGAATATGCGGGGGCTACATCTCGATATTGCAAAAGGATAAAAATTATGAATCCATATTTAAATTCGGTAAATCTTGACGTTAGCTTACATCTCACGGATCATTTTCATTTCGACATGTATTGTAAAGAGTACATTCTTAAGTAATACATGTTTTGAATTATGTGGCGCCCTCTCTTTTCGTTCCTAAGATATGCAACTTCAAAATATTACAAAAATAAAATTTTTGGGAAAGCAAATTTAGTTCCAATGACTTTAATTCAACATGTTTTCAAAAAATCATGGTTCTCAATAATTTTCAGAAGGTTCTCATCATTATTAAACATTCATATATTATTAAATATTTATTTAAAGATCTAAATATGCAAGTATATCAAATTTTCTTATTTCAAACTTTCTTTTATGTGGAAAGTTCTGTGTTAAACCATGTTAAGATTTCTAAACCATTTTATAGTTTTATTTTATTATTGTATAAAGTAAACGCATAGCGGCTCTGTCCCTCCCCCTGGACCACCACCCCGAAAAAACTAATTTAACGCAAATCTATTTCTGATTTTAAATTAAAATTAGATGTGGATTGGGTTCGAATGTTTTTGGGGATGGCGGTGCAAAGAGAGGGGCTCTGCCCTTCTTCCGTCCACGCAATCGATAAATAATATTTTTCACACCGTGGACATTTAATATGTCCGTGAATAACTTTTCAATCAGCAAGAAAATTTATTAACTTATTGCTATTCCCAACAAGAAACTTAAAAATACGTGCAGTCGCATGTTGAAAGCTGTTAATGAACTGGGAGAAATAGGTGAAACAATCATTAATCATAATAAATCTATAAATAACTATGACCATCTAGTTATACCTTAAATAATGTAAACAAAAGCTTTTTCTAGTTAGAAGATGACAAATAGATTAATATAACGTACACAAACTTCACTATTCTTAATATCAGTTATAATACCTAAGGAAAAGCATTAAAATTGTCGAATTTTAATTTGTTATATCTCTTAAATCAATGACATTCTCCACTTGACTTTTGCGGGGAATTACTCAAAACACACACACACAAACTTCGCCTACAACATATCTCATTGTAAGTGGAAATAAAATCGGTGAGGTGTGACCTATTATGTTCAAGTAAATAAGTCAATAAGTTTATCTTTACCACAGTAATGGCTAGGAATTCGTAACGTTACACTTATTTCGAAATTTTTAGTGAAACTAGACAATAACTCTATACGTACTGACAATGGCATAATAACGAGCAAATGCAAATAAAAAAATATAAATACACAAATATAATACAACGAAAAGATGATACAAGTAAGTACGACAATTGTCATATTTCAAAATTGCATGTATTAGGACTAGGAATTAAAAGAAAGTACCACATAATTCGAAGCGTGTATTACTTAGGAATGCACTTTCCACAATATATGTCAAAAGAAAAGTGATCCATGAGATGTAAATTAATATTAAGATTAATCTTTAATTCTGTTCTCACAATACAAGTGGCGTAAACCAAAATGATTTTGACAACAAAACTTTCTTTTTTCTTTATAGTGTGTGGCTATTAAAATACATCCTTTGTATTTGATGCTGCCGGCGGCTATCTGCTGCTCGTTCTCGTTTCATTTACCGGTAGGTACCCCGCCGAATGCAATTGCCAGCGCGGCGGGTCATATAAAGACAAGGGACTTTATGATCGCCGGTATCGGGCCCAGCATCGTCACGCTCGTCGTCACCGTGGGGGCGTTCTCCACATGGGGTACATACGTATTCAATCTGTCCGAGTTCCCCGAGTGGGCGACATAGCGGTACTCGTCAGTATAGTCCTTCGATATTTATTTGCGCTTCGTGCTCCACCGAACGCGCGTGTTCCACAATGACAAGAGTACTACTCGTACATAATAACGCCGAATATTCTCATCTCATCGAAAAAATTCGGTCTCTCTATAATAGATATTTTCTTACAAATTCCAAAGATATCTGACGCCTTAAGGGATAAGTTCGCACAATCGCGAATCTCAACTTCCTCAATGGCAAGAATAGACTGGATGGTACTATGTATGTATCGTAAAAGCGAAAATTGTCAAATATGATAAGAAAGTAACAATATGATACATCCTCAGAATAATTTCGCATGTGGGATGATATTATTTTTGTATGAAATGTATAATAGTATACAAAAATCCTCAAATAAGGAATCCACTCTTACATATGTCTTAGCGACCAAAAAATCACTGACAATACTAATTTTTAGCCAATCAAAAAACACATAAACGTATTTATTTATATATATCAAGTATGTTCACAATATACATATTTGGAGTCGGAAACTAAGTCAATCAGTCACTTGCATCTCAAATTCTCAATTCCTGAATCTTGTCTCACTCTTTGATTTACTTATCATTCGTAATAGTGTAATATGTATATTTTTCTTATATTTTCCGCTTTGCAAATGATATGATTTTTCTACTAATACAAGAAATCAAGAAAATGATACTGACAATATATATTATTAAATTCTCTTATATACAAGGTGTCTGCTAATAATCGCCTCACCCGTAATGTGCAGGTAGAACGGATTAAACCGAGCAGGAATAGAAATAGGTGAAACAATCATTAATCATAATAAATCTATAAATAACTATGACCATCTAGTTATACCTTAAATAATGTAAACAAAAGCTTTTTCTAGTTAGAAGATGACAAATAGATTAATATAACGTACACAAACTTCACTATTCTTAATATCAGTTATAATACCTAAGGAAAAGCATTAAAATTGTCGAATTTTAATTTGTTATATCTCTTAAATCAATGACATTCTCCACTTGACTTTTGCGGGGAATTACTCAAAACACACACACACAAACTTCGCCTACAACATATCTCATTGTAAGTGGAAATAAAATCGGTGAGGTGTGACCTATTATGTTCAAGTAAATAAGTCAATAAGTTTATCTTTACCACAGTAATGGCTAGGAATTCGTAACGTTACACTTATTTCGAAATTTTTAGTGAAACTAGACAATAACTCTATACGTACTGACAATGGCATAATAACGAGCAAATGCAAATAAAAAAATATAAATACACAAATATAATACAACGAAAAGATGATACAAGTAAGTACGACAATTGTCATATTTCAAAATTGCATGTATTAGGACTAGGAATTAAAAGAAAGTACCACATAATTCGAAGCGTGTATTACTTAGGAATGCACTTTCCACAATATATGTCAAAAGAAAAGTGATCCATGAGATGTAAATTAATATTAAGATTAATCTTTAATTCTGTTCTCACAATACAAGTGGCGTAAACCAAAATGATTTTGACAACAAAACTTTCTTTTTTCTTTATAGTGTGTGGCTATTAAAATACATCCTTTGTATTTGATGCTGCCGGCGGCTATCTGCTGCTCGTTCTCGTTTCATTTACCGGTAGGTACCCCGCCGAATGCAATTGCCAGCGCGGCGGGTCATATAAAGACAAGGGACTTTATGATCGCCGGTATCGGGCCCAGCATCGTCACGCTCGTCGTCACCGTGGGGGCGTTCTCCACATGGGGTACATACGTATTCAATCTGTCCGAGTTCCCCGAGTGGGCGACATAGCGGTACTCGTCAGTATAGTCCTTCGATATTTATTTGCGCTTCGTGCTCCACCGAACGCGCGTGTTCCACAATGACAAGAGTACTACTCGTACATAATAACGCCGAATATTCTCATCTCATCGAAAAAATTCGGTCTCTCTATAATAGATATTTTCTTACAAATTCCAAAGATATCTGACGCCTTAAGGGATAAGTTCGCACAATCGCGAATCTCAACTTCCTCAATGGCAAGAATAGACTGGATGGTACTATGTATGTATCGTAAAAGCGAAAATTGTCAAATATGATAAGAAAGTAACAATATGATACATCCTCAGAATAATTTCGCATGTGGGATGATATTATTTTGAAATGAAATGTATAATAGTATACAAAAATCCTCAAATAAGGAATCCACTCTTACATATGTCTTAGCGACCAAAAAATCACTGACAAATTTTTAGCTCCTCAGAATAATTTCGCATGTGGGATGATATTATTTTTGTATGAAATGTATAATAGTATACAAAAATCCTCAAATAAGGAATCCACTCTTACATATGTCTTAGCGACCAAAAAATCACTGACAATACTAATTTTTAGCCAATCAAAAAACACATAAACGTATTTATTTATATATATCAAGTATGTTCACAATATACATATTTGGATAAGTCAATCAAGTCAATCAGTCACTTGCATCTCAAATTCTCAATTCCTGAATCTTGTCTCACTCTTTGATTTACTTATCATTCGTAATAGTATATTTTTTATATTTTTCTTATATTTTCCGCTTTGCAAATGATATGATTTTTCTACTAATACAAGAAATCAAGAAAATGATACTAATGTCCTTTACCATTTTGCGATTTTCGTAATAATTATTGAAAAATTAATTAAAAAAGATCGACCAATTCGCGCGAGTATAAGAGCGCAGCGAGAAGACACAACCCAAGAGTATGCGGTCGCTAAGCGCGCGACAAAAGTTTTGGGAGGAGTGCTCTACAAATGACAACAATTACGTACGAGCGGTACATAATAACGATGGTCCTTGCGTTCTAGCAACCACAAATCGATGTCCCATATCAGGCCGTCCTTTCTCACCACGCGGTAATACTCGCGTGAATTGGCCGATCTTTTTAAATTAATTTCTTATTAATTATTGCGAAGATCGCAAAACGGTAGAGGACTTTCCTTCTCGGTTTCCTGCTCTATCTGCACATTACAGGTGGGGTGATTATTATCAGACACCCTATATATTGTCTCACTTATATTTTAAAATATCCTATTATCTTTGTGAAGTCATCCTATCTTCAGAATTTCGATATAATTAATAGAGTTTTGGCCTCTTTTCCCCAAACAGTTTTAGAGTTCCTGATACGTTTTAAGAAGAGTTCTGTCGATTAAATATAAAAAAATAAAAATCTGGAGATATAGAGTATCAATATCACGTTCTTGCAACACGAAAATTGAATATAACTTTTTTTATTTCAATAGGGATCGATTTGAGTCGTAATATTTTTCTATAGAACTCTTTGCGTCATTTAGAATTTTAGAAAAAACAGAAACTCCCAAAATAAATTTTTAATTAAAAAATTTTAATTCGAGAAACGAAAAATTGCTAAGATTCTCAATTTCAATTCTATCGGTCCCAGTTTTAAGAATAATCGTTAAAATTCTTGGGAAGTTATCGTGAAGTTGACTATCTTAATCTCCTACTTTTTACATTTAATTACAGAACTCGTTTTAAAACGTATCAGGAACTCTAGAACTCTTTAAGGAAAAGCCAAAAGTCTCTATTAATGAGCTTCACAGAGATCAATATATGTACAGAAAGATCGACACACACAAAATACGTGTCTGAAATAGTGAAACATCATGTATGTGAAATGCAGTGTCATTACAATGATAATAGATGTATTAAATTTACATACGTAATCTCTCTCTCACTCACCATCCACGTCAGAATCCTGATTGACGTTCTCCGCTTCTTCTGCCATTTCGCCAGATGGATTTATGACGATCCCCAATTGCAGTCAAGAGGCACTTATTTGGCGAAAACGTTCGACAACACTTGGCCCTAGGATAAAATTAGAAAAGTCCATAAAGCACGACGGAACCGTCGAAAGGGATTGATAAACATAACCTTCATAGCGGATATATAACCTACAAAGCGTTTCTGTCACGTGCGATTGCGTAACGTGTCGTAAAAATACGCGATGATAGTAAAACCTATCATCACGGTTGTTTCACTGTGATTGATACCAACACATTCGCGATATGTTTATCATTTCAATCGATATATATATATACAAACAATGAAAAAAAAATTTTCCCCTTTATCACTAACCTTACCGTCACAAAATGCATGGAACACATATCATTGATTATACATAGATGGAATAACTCATATGTTATAATTCGCCGATTGAAGATAGCGCGCAAGTGCAACCGCGAATTTTAATTCGGAAATAAACCCTCTTCAAGAGAGATTAACTAATTTATTATATTATATATGTTATATTGTTATTATATTATATATATACTTGTATATGTATATGTATATAAATTTTTTATTAATATTCTACTTTAAAAAATTTACGTTTACATTTACGTACTTTCAATTACGTGAGCAAACCACAAACATTAACGAGCTATTTGATCGACGAAGAAAAACTTCTAAGACATTAAAGACATTATGAGCACAGACATAAGCCGATTTAAATAACTGATTACAAGTATTATATAGGTTAGACGAGAGAAAATTCAAACTATCGCAGATTTAAGCCGCAAGATAGATATTGATCGTTCATATTGAAGCAAGTTTTGTTATTACTGAACTATCTCGGAATAATTGAGATAAGTTTATTAATAATTTCGCCAACGCTCGGGGCAAAGATTGAAAAATGTTACAGCCAGTATTGACTCAACTTTCTCGATTTTGTGATAAGACTTTCGGGAAATATTATTTTATTTGCTGAATGATATGAAATTGGTATGGATCCATATTGATTAGAAAATTATTTATTTCAACAAATATTTTTGCAATAATTAAATTTTTCAGTGATATATCAAGAGAGGAAAAGAAAGAGAAAGATTAAAACAAACTTGTTTTTACTAATTTAAAATTTTATTTACTCGATAATAAATACTGAATCGATTATCAAATTATATCATATTCATATTTTCTATATATTTTTTTAATTATATATACAATGTAAAACAATTAATAAAATTAATTAATAATTAGTAAAATTGTTATACAATATCTTCATATCCTTTTTATTGCAGGGCGCTTAAGTAAAAACAATATGCACAATAATCTATAATAATTTTAACAATGTACATACAACAACGCTACCAAAGGAGTATATAGTATCACATATATGAACTTTGTACAAAGCTTCTGTTATAGTACATATAATAATTCGAACTTTGATGCACAAAACGATGTCGCCGAGTTATGAAACTATCTTTTTGATACATTCAGAAATTCAATAATACGATTAATTTTATAACTGAACTGTATATTACACATCATGTCGAAGTCGCTTCTAATAATTTATCATTTTCATTGATAGTGCGAGATCCCGTCTTTTCGTCCTTCTCAGATTTCGCAATCTAATAGAAACAAATCAAATATATTAAAGAATATATTTTATTATTATTATATATTATCTTTTATTAATATTAATATATTAAAAAATTATTTTATTAATAAAAAAAGCATCTAAACAATATATAATATTAAAACACACACAGCGCACATTCAATAGTAATTAAACAAACTGTTAATATATTGCTACAAATTATCAGCAAAATTATTGAACAGAAAGTAAACAGGCAAATGGAACGGTTGTTATTTAATAAGAAATTCAGTCAAAAATGATAAAATAATTTAATTAAAAAATAATAAAATACCTTGACCTGATGAAGTTCTTCGGGCGTGATATCTTTGTTTGAAGTCTTCAAATATTTTCTCATAAATGGCGCCAGGAGCATCGGATCTAACTTTTCAACATTTTGGGAGGTAATAAGAGTTACGATGAGACCGACGCTTATAGTCATTAAGGCACCGGTCATAGTGTACCAAAGATAACTGAGACGGTACAATGCCCATGGTTCCCTATTAAATAACGGTTATATATTTTGTTATAAAACGCGGAATCTTTCTGCTGACAAAAATTTGTAGCAGACGTTTGGCAAAATCTGTTCGAACAGACTTGGCTATCTGGGTATACAATCGATTCTTTATCTTAATAAACTCACAACAATATGTATAATTATTGTTGGGATTGGGTAGTAATTAGTTAAAAAGTTAAGTTAAAAATTAAGTTAAAAAAACGTTAGTTAAAAGGTTAAGTTAAAAAGTTAAAAAGTTAATAACTTTTAACTTAACTTAGGCCGGTATGCATAGTCCGTTCTTATATAAAGATCGTCTTAAGTGTGGTCTTGGGTCGTCTTGAAATCCCATTCAACCAATGAAATGATCGCATAATATCTTAAGACCATACTTAAGACGATCTTGAATATAAGAACGGACTATGAATACCGGCCTTAGTTAATTTTGAACGTGTTAACTTTTAATTTAAACTAGTTTCTTTTAAATGCATTAACGTTAAATTATTAACTTTTTTTATACAAATTAAAATTTTGTATCTTTGATAGTCGAAAATTATCTGTTTACTAATAATTATAATAACATAAAACAGTATCCAGTACCATTAAAACGTGCGTTCATAAAATACAACGCAACGGTACCATCCTCAGCGCATGTAGAGCGTATGTTTAGTGCAGGTGATTTAATATATGATGACTTAATGGCTTCTGCACACAGAACGCAGAAACGCTTGCCGCGCGGCAGAAGACGACGCGGTAATCAATCAATTTTTTGCTCTAATTAAAAAGTTATAAGTTGATTGGCTACCGCGTCATCTTGTGCCGCGCGGCAAGTGTTTCCGCATCCTGTGTGCAGAGCAGCGATCGTGTAACTTTTCCCCTAGGGTGGAAATGTAAAAAGTGAAAAATTTTGCCATTAATTTTAATGCAACCATAAGAGGAAAAATTATGGACCATAAGTTTAAGATGCCACTTTTATTAAAATTCAATAAATTGATTTAAATTGTTTAAATTTATTGTTAGAGTATCTAATAATTAAAAATAAAGCGGTTCAAATTAAACAGGAAAGTCCTTTTAATCGAAGTCCCTATTAACCGTTTTGTTTTTAAACACTGTGGGCGTTTTCCAGCAAGGTACACAGACGACACAGTATATTACACATTATCACATGATCGGCTGTCAAATGAAGAAATTTAAAATATAGCCAATCGCGTGATAATGTGTAGTACACTGGGTCGTCTGTGTACCTTGCTGGAAAACGCCCTATAATATCTCTATTTCACAACTATAGTATATTTAAATAATGTGTATTATTAATTATTATATAAGAAAAAATACATTATCTGTCTTATAAAAAACTACCTTTTTATTATATTACCTAAATTTAAAAAGTTTAATTTAAAATGTACAATTAAAAGATTAATTATGTAAAAAAACACACAATTTTGCATAATTATCTTTTAACTTTTTAATAAGATAATAATTTTTTAACTTAACTTTAACTGAGTTAATTTTTGTTTAAGTAACTTTTAATATAAAACTTAGTTAATTTTTGGGCCACTAACTTTAAACTTAATTTAGTTAAAAAAAATTAACTTATCCAACCCTGGTTATAGTACCAGTTATCCATCTACGTCAAATTGATATACGTATAATTAAATTTAGGGTAATACTGCATAAAAGGTAATACATCTCCGATTTTATCGCCACTTAAATATGTTATAGAGGAGGTTCTTCTGAGTAATTCCCCGCAGAAAAAATACATAAGTAGGGGACAACATTGGATTTAGGAGATATAACAAATTAAAGTTTCACAGTTTTAAAGTTTTTTTCTCAGGTATTATAATATAATATAATATAATATTAGGAAAAGTGAAATTTGTGTATGTTGTATTTGTTGTAGAGCAGACGTGGAAGAAGTGTTTGTTTATATTCACGGGATAGGTACACGGTCATGGATATTTTATCAATAATGTGTTTCACCTATTTCTCGCAGTTTGTTAACAGTTTTCAACATGTAATTACACGACTTTGTGAGTATTTTCTTGAAAAATATCATTTTTTGAATGCGTGGACGGGGGAGAAGCTCCGCCCCTTTCCCCACCTTGAAAATAATGTAACCAGGGAATTACTCAAAAGAACTTCCTCTACAATATATTTAAGTGGCGATAAAATCGGAAGTATGTTACCTTTTATGCAGTTTTACCAAATTTAGTAACACCCTCTAAAACTTACTCTCCACTCGTGTCGTCCAAAATCGAATTCGGCGGTACAGATAGCAGTAAATTTTCCACCTGCGGGAACGAGTAAGCGCATCCCTCCGTGGTGACGGGTTTCACATCGAATCTGCAAAGACATATATGTGATTGTATTTTGAAAGGAAACAAAATATGGTATAGACATGTATATCATATACAGGATGTTCCGAGATTCGCGAATCAAAATATTATTATATACAGGAAAATTGTCAAAAAATTAAGTAATAAAAGTATTTGCGCGATTTTCAGGACACCTTTGTAATGACGATTTTAATATTAACTTAATTTGTCCACTAGCGATGGCCGCTTCAGCGGAAAGACCGAGCCAACCCATGAAGCTCAGACCCGCGAGTCCTCCGATCAGAGCACCCTGGCAAATTGAAAACACGAGAGTTTTTTTCTTCTTTACTTTTATCGACAAATCCGAATATACATATATCCATTAAATTAAGTCAAAGTAAAGTTATCGTTAGAGCACATGCCTTGCCGTTGATCCACGGTAACAATAATCCCATACTAAAAATGCCAAGAGACGGTCCGCTAGTGATGGCGCCCAGACTCATGGATAACTACAAAAATCATTCCAATATGTGAGACAAAAAATTTGATTTATATTACTTGACAGGTCTCCGATCTGTTTACCTGCAGCACATGAATGCCCGCCTGTTCGACGACAAAGACGAGGGCAACACACGTCGCGCCCAAAACGACAACGGTAAGCTTCATGAAGATATCGGCAGTTCTACGCGTAAATGGGGTCTTGATGAAGGGCTTGGCAAAGTCCTCTAGTACTACTGCCGCCATAGAGTTTAAGCCGGTCGACAGCGAGCTAAAAAGAATCCCAAAAATAATCTTATATGCACACATCTAAAAACAAAAGGGATAGCTATAACTTTTAATTATCTTCTTTTAATAACTTCTAATAATTATATACAGATATTTTTCCATTTTATTTCAATTAATTAAATGTAAATGTGAATTACCTGAGCGCAGCGCTAAACACGCCAGCCACGAAGAGACCAGGCAGTCCTGGAAATTGTCCTAAAACGTTCATGACCAGCAGTGGCAACAATTGATCCTTGGCACGTGCCAGCTGTAGCATGTATATATACATTAATCGATGTTCAATTACCGCGATTAAATAAAATTAACTAAACGTTACCTTGGTCGTGAGTGGATCGCATTCGTGATACCAGGCGTAAATTAGTAGACCGGCGTATCCGCACATGCCAATCAGAATTAAAACTCCGACTATAAAAATTTAATTAAGTCTTTAAAAAGTCCTCTTAAAGAGCTCATCCTCTCAATAATGCTCACTGGGTTGTTGGTCTTGTAAAAAAATTATTAATTTTTTTAATTTATGAAAGAATAGAATATACCTTCTAGCTGATTGCAAAGTAGGAAGTGACAAGTATCGTTGAATCATATTTTGATTGATAGCGGAAACTTGTAGCCAATGTACGAAACCACCTATCGTAAGCGCCCAAATCGTGTGTCTCGTCAAAGGGCTCCAATCTGTCCTGTTAAGCGAGACAATTATACATTCTAAACCAAAAGTTTAAAAATACTGATAAATTATATTAAATTTATTTATTAACGAAAACTGATTTAAAAAAAGATATATATTTATACAAAATAAAGCACATACAAAAAAATTACACAAAATAAAATTGTGGACATTTGAATGAATAATCCAAAAACGTCGGTTTTTAAAAAGTGTTTTCAAATTATTGGCCTGGAGCGTACTTTTAATTTCAATTAACATATATTTTTAATCATCCTGTGTTTTATAAAATAAAAACATGTCTGTCTCTCTAAAAAAATACAAGGCTGTAATTTATATCATTTATAAATCTTCATTTCTTTTTCTTTCATATAAAGCTACACTTATTTAAGTGTTAAGATAACGAAATCGGGACATCTGTATATTATTAATGTTAAATGCACGCACGTGGGTAATTCGAGTCTTCCGGATTCTAGATTTCTCCGAACCACCAAAGACAATCCACCGATGTCGGCTGTGCCCTTAATTATAATTAACAACATGGAGCCAAACATGATGAAAGTCTGAATGAAATCCGTCCATACTACTGCTTTGAGACCGCCCTGAATGCAATAAAAAATAAATCCTTTCAGAAGAAGGATTAAATAAGCTATTTCCCTAGTGCTATTAATAAAACCCATTTTACTTGGGTCAATCTAATCTGACTGTGAAATGTAATTCAATTGGAGTCACATATACATACAGGACATTCTAAACCGGACGTCCTTTTAATAGCAGATTCTTTGATAGAAATTTTAGAAACGATTTTTTCTTAGGAAATATGGAGGGAATAATTTCCAAATTATAAGCGATTGAAAACGAGGGGCTTTTCGTAAAAATTAAAATTAGAAAAGATCAACAAAACTACATTCTTCAGTTAATTTCAGATTTACTTTAATAGAATTTTTATTTGATGTTACGGAACTATATTATTATGAAAAAAATTGGAAACTTGCAAAAATGACGACATTTTCAATTATTTCGACTGATCAGAAAATCTGCTGTTAAAAAGATATCCGGTATGATTTTAGAATATCTTATATATATATGTATATATATATTCTTTTTACAATAAAAAAGGGGTATGTATAAGACAAACACAGGTATATGTTTTCAGTTTTAATTGATTATTTGCGTCTATATTTGAATTTGTTTTGCATTTATATTTCTTTCTTAGATCTTGGCTAACTTACCACGCAGGTGTAGAATATGCAAACAATGCATACAAAAGGCGTGATTATGTGAACATTCACCCCCGTAACTGAAAATAAAGTTGTCGGAAATAATTTCTCACGTTAAACACGATTCTCATATTTAGGAGACATATTTTGCAAGTCAATTTGATTAAATTTTAATTAGTTTCGATTTCTTATTAAACTTTCGTTTGAGAAAGGTGTATACCTTGATTGAAGGCCAATGCGGGTACGTAGATGACAATTGGGAGCCAAGTCATCTAAAAGAAGTCCTCATATATATTTGTATTGCTCGAGACAGCGAAATCACAAAAAAAAATCTTTATGCGCGCGATTCTCTTTTTCGAGGATTTACTTACGATACCGATGGTGAAGAGGACCGAACCTAACAATCTGATCCTTTTGTCGAAACGTTTCTCGAGATATTCGTACGTGCTGGTAAGTTTGAGATCGTGAAAGACCGGCAGGAATACGATGGACATAACAAGACCGACGAAGATGACCGCGCAACCGATGAAGAGGTAGCTCGTACCGTGCACGTAAATCTCCGTCGGTGTACCAAGCAATGAAATACCTGATGTTCAAACAATTTTGAGCGATTAGAGAAATTAGTCTCATGATATAATTTCTCGACATTGAATAATTATTACTTACTCGAACCACGAATTCATCCCCGAAATTATGTATAATAATATATTTGTTAAATTATAAAATTAAATAGAATAAAAAATGTATAGAGATTTTGTACCTATACTTATTATTATTAGACATAATTTTATAAATGTTCAATCTTGGAATTTTTCGGCACACACAAATCAATATTTTATACAGCAAATATTAATATTATTACCATCATATTGCTTGTTATTATGTTACATGTGCTTTTTAATTATTTAATTAATTTTATCTCTGTTTCACGTTTTCAAAAATGCATATGTTATGCGTGCCACATAATGCACAACCTGGGCAATTATGTATAAGTTTCTATAGCATATTTAAAGCATTTGCACAAGTGACAAGATATTTACAACTTAAATGCTTGCTTATCTAATCTAACAGTTTGTTATCATCTGAATGAAGCTGTGATATATGTCATGAAAAAAAAAATCATGATTAAATGGAAATTTTCCACATAAGTATATGCAACACAGCAAATAAATATATACAAAAAATGGTATTAAAAACTTCTCATATAATGAGAAACATATAAAGAGAAACATCGTGAATCAAATATTAGACTATTTTGATTATAACGCTTAACAAATCAAATAAAAATAAATAAACCTTATTAAAGAAATGTATTAAACTGGCAAAGTATAAATCTTTTTCGAATTTTTCTTCTCACTTTCAAGTCATTATTAAGATATAAATGTGTATTACAGGCAGGTTTTGATATTTTTATCTTTAATGATCTCTTGTCACAGCAGAGCGTACGAGAAAAATTAATAAAATGCGGAAATATAGCTGTACCCGATATAAAGCTCGCTATCAGGCTGAGGCTGACTGGAAATGTCTTCATGTTCCTTCCGCCTACCAGGTACTCGTCCTCGCCTGAGGACTTGTTCACGAAGCCAAAATAGATGCCGACCATGCCGCAGGCGATCAGCATCGCCGCGAACACGGTGTAATCCGACGTACCGAAGTTCTGCATTGACTCGCTGATCTCCTGTACGGTGGGCATTTCCGGTGTCCAATTGGTCGAGCCCAGATCATTCAAGGTACCTTCCGAGGTCATTTTGTTGCAAAACGGAATCTCGTCGCTTTGATAGATTACCGCAGTGGAGGGATGTGTATCGTTCTCGAGGGCAGAATCTTCCGATTGTTTTAATCTAACGCTTCAACGTAACGCGTTCTATTAACGTCGGAAATAACAGCGGTCACGCTATGATCTACCATAAAGAATATGGAATAGATCGCGAAAGAATTTGCGGGATGCTATGGCAATTTAATTATTTATAAAATAAAATTTGTCGATAATGTTAATCGTTTATTAAAATTTTGTCAACATTTGAGAGAGCGTTTAAATGATTAAGTTTCACTTTTGAATCGAGATCGAATTTGATCTCCAACTGTATCGTTAACAATATTGGATTAAGTACGCGAGTATTGAAAGATTCGAGATTTACAAGTATTAGAACAGACCGATACCGGACGCTCTCAAGTTAACAAAGTGCTAGATTGGCAAGTCTATCACGGAAGCCGAGAGACGACTACCTTGACGCGAATCGCAGCGTAGTCGGGTGAGGAAGAGAGTCACACCGCGCCGCGATTATACGCGTCACGATAGTGTCATTGCGACAATCTTCTAATTAAGCCTAACAATGGGCATAAAGTACGGAGTACGAAACGAACGACCGACGGGTTATATTCCACGGCCAGAGAATCATAAGTGGATAATATGACCTAAATTTAGCATTGGCGGTACGGATACATGTTTGGGAATCGGTAACGATTCCAGCACCACGAGTCTTGCTACACGAAATCTCGTAGAGCCGATGAACGTCGGTTGTCCCGCGCAAAAACGCTTCAAGAGATGTCGCGATCGAAATCGTCACTTACAATGACGATACCAATCAATAATCTTGCTAATTTCCATTTACAAATCCTTCACGATCGATTATCACAGCGAATCATATAATCAAGTGTTCTTTAATCAGTACTTAATCTTTCGCTACATTGCAGAATAAAAATATATGCAAATATCGCAAATATTTCCAGGATAAATATCGAGGAGTAAAGAAGAACGTAATCATACGTAATCATACAATTTTCCCTTTAATTTTAATTAGCAAATGCATAGCGTATGTATTCCGCGCTTAGATTTCTAAAGATGTATACCTTATGTTAAACGTATCGCGACAAAGGCTTAATGACATAATAATCTTTATCCTTCATAAAAGCGTGGCAATTCATTGCCCAATATGACTTTCCTCTCAATTCCCTTTTCCGTGATCACTCCAGTTCGTATGACACCGCCGCTACTTCCGTCGCGGGCCATGGCTAACGCGAGCGCTGTAAAAAGTTATTATTAAGAATTGAATCTCCTTTCCCTTTGACAATGCACTTACTATTCTCCACTAGTTTGAGACACTCGTCCTTTGACATTTTGGGTTTATATTGCGCGTCCACGTAGCCGTACACATACGTCGAACCGGAACCACCTATCGAGATCGGCTGTCTCACGCACATACCACCTATGGGAATACTATAGACCTGACCACCCTTCTGTTTATCCCATCCCGCCACCAGGATCCCGGCCATCAGGGAGTCTCGATAATTGTAGCATATCTCGCGAAACACGTTGGCAGCCGTTTCCACCAAGGGCTGCGTTCCGAGCTCCATTCTGATATGAAAAATTTATTTGTCTTATAGGTGTCGATAAAATATGGCAATTATTTATTTCCCTGGATGTTATCTTACTGATGCAAACCCAAGTGGTAAGCTACAATATCGGCGATCGCCTGTGTGTCCGCCGCTGAGCCGGAACGACAACAGTAAATGTAATCCGTCACTCGTGTCAATTTGTCGGCGTAACGGTTGGAAACGTAAGCTCTAGAATAATGAATTAATTACAAAGAATTGTAATCGATAAATATGATCTCGTCGAATAAATTATATACTTTACCCCGTCGTACCCCGAGAATCAGCACCAATTACGACGCCACCATCGAATTCGCATGCCATGATTGACGTCTGTAAATAGGTTGTAAGATGGCATCAAACATTGCAACGAATTGATATAAGGAGCTCAAATGCAGTGTCGTAAATCAAGATAAAGAAACACGTGATAAACCCATAATTCTCTTTATCAGAATCTCACAAATTCAAATCTTTTAATAGAATCTCACCGATGATGGAAACTTAAATGTAACGTTTTACACCATACTTACAAAAGTTGTTGCTTCATTTGACTGCGTTTAACCACTTCTCTGCCATTTTCTCCTCTCTCAAATACAATAACTTTCTATAAATATTCCTTTGATATTTCCAATACTTTTTATAAATATATTTTCAAGATTTTAAACTAAACTTTGCATTCTTATAAATCTTTATAAAAAAATATTGAATCAAAACTATATTTTAAAGTATGTGCGCAGAATACAGATAGAATAGCGATGTTAATTGATTATCTATACAGGGTGTTTCACAAATACTTCAACAAATTTTTGGAGTAAGTTCTCCACACAAAAACAAGAAAAAAATATCATATAACATATGTCTGGAAATGCCTAGTTTATAAGTTATAATTGAAAGATTTCAACCACAAAAACTGACAGAACATATCTACAATGACACATGACCAATGTAATACATCTTCAATTCAATTGTGTATCCACTAACAATTCATAAATGCTCAAAATGTCCTCCACCTGCTTTGATGCACGCATGGACATGTCGGATCATGGACTGTTACATCATTTCAAAGATCCCATGACAGTTACGAATAGTTTCGCAGGCATTTACGATGCGTTAATAAAGCGTCTCTTCATTTGCAATTTTAGTTACATAAACTAGGGCTTTTAAGCGTCCCCATGATAAAAATATAATGGATTTAGGCCAAGCTATGGTACTGAATTGAATATAATCTTTCGATTATAACTCATAAACCAGGCATTTCTACATGTTTATATGACATTTTTTTTTGTTTTTATGTGGAGAACTCACCTCCAAAGTCTATTAAAATATTTCTGAAACATCCTGTATATAATAAATAAAAACTTTTTCTTTTATAATTTTAGTTTTGTTATAATCGAAATATTATTAAACAATTAACACGTAGAAAGTGTCCATAAATTTAAAAAAAAAAGAAAATTGAATTACAAAAGACATATTTTTCAAAGTATACATCCAATATATCGGTAAAAAGAAGAATCAACTTTTTTATCTCAAAAAAGTAGCAGATAAATGCATCTTTTAACTGTGTTTGACGAAATAATCATCTACTTAAATAAATTTCATAAAAAGATTATGTTTCCTAATCACGTCTTTGCAGTGTCATTATAACCTAAAAACGTATCATTATCATCATCATCATCATCCCCGAGAACTCACCCCAGTGCTCTGCTCCGAATTCAGCCAGTCCGGCATCATATTTTCCGAAATGGTAGCCGTTTGTGGTTGCAATATATTATCCATATAAGCCATTCTTATCAAAAATTTTTCTAATTCAGCTATCACACAACTGTCTCCAATTGTCTCTAGCGGAGTCATTCCAAAGGTCATATTCCGATATTCACTGCCAGTACTGAAAATCTATAGTATATGTGACGTAAACTATAGATTTTCACTACTGGCTTTGAATATCGGAACACGGCCCAAGTCAGGGCCGTGGTACATAAAAAAAACTTAAGCAGTAAAGCCTGCGGCACACGGTACAATTTTTCGTACTGATTTTGTTAATTGATTCGTTGCGTGCTGTTCAGCGAAGTATTCTACATGTTCCAATCATAAGAGTGTTACTAGTTTTGGCTTCACACGTGCAGATTATCTAAAGCCCGAATCACACTAGCGGCTCGCAGCTGCGATTGCAATTGGGAAATTAGCTAATCAATGCGCTTAAAAAGTTTATCGTACGACGAATATAATATTACTATAAAACTATTGGCGTAGCGATTGGCTATCGAGTATAGAATTTCTAGAGTCTCTGTATATGATAATAGTCTAGTATACACCGATATACTTTAAGCCATTTTATTCTCTAGAGGAGTGCCACTTGATTCTTTTCTTCTACCCGTATATATTATTTATGATTGTGGATTGGCAATCACATGGAGAATTCGGAGAATCTTGATAGAGACTCTAGAAATTCTCTATTCGATAATCAATCGTTACGTTCAACAAACATTTTGTCGTGTGTTCATGTTTGCACATGTTTGTCGTAATATCAGCTTAAGGGTAATATTAAATTTGTCATGCGGATCAGCATTATGGCTCTTGCAGATCAGCGCGATGACGCGACGCGCGGTATCCAATGAGAGCTATATTTTTTCCGATAATCGGAGCTCTCATTGAATATCGCGCGTCGCGTCAATGCGCTGGTCTGCGAGAGCCATTAAGGTGTCATTACATGGCAGCGTTAAGCGTCGAGCGTCTGTGTAGAAAATTGCGCAGAATCTAATTTTAGCCTAGAATCTATCTCTTTTAAATTCTGCGCATTTTTCTGCGCAGACGCTCGACTCTTAACGCTGCCATGTAAAGGCACCTTAACGCTGCCATGTAAAGGTACCTTAAGGCCGATATTACATTTGTCGTACGACAAACTTTTTAAGCATATT